CACACTTATCACACTCTCACGTACACACACGCACTCACACATTCGCAAACATGATACTCCACTACAACAGATACAAACAAGAGATAGATATAATATCAAAAGACCTAATGGAGAAAGTGGAATTACTGGAAAGCGAGAAGAAGATGCTACTGAGTAACTATGTTGAGAGGTTGAAGGTCGTAGAGTTGGAAAAGCAAGAGGATATTAATAGGCTACGCAAGGAGTACAAGTCATCAATTTTTTAATTAGTGTTATTATTAGTGTTATTATTATTATTATTATCGGTATTATTATTGTTATCATTATTATTGTTATTTATTATTATTATTATTATATTATTACTTTTTCCTAATTTATTCTAAGTAGTACACACACACACACACACACACACACGCACACACACACATCACAAACACACACATCACATGAGGATGAGATTGTATTCTAACTCTCGTAACCATCGTTCGTCACCATTTTTATTATTATCATTATTATCGTTACCATCATGGTGATAATTTTTAATGATAAGGGCTAGTGTGGATGTGATGAGGCAGGAACATGAAGAGGCCATTGACAGAATCGTAAGGGCCAAAAATCAAGAACTCGACTCTTTAATGCTTTCTAAAGATCATACTAGGTTGGTCGATTGACTGGTTGGTTGGTTGGTTGATTGACTGGTTGGTTAGTTGGCTGGTCAGTTTGTTGGTGAGTTGGCTGGTTAGCGTGTTGGCTGGTTGGCTAGTTGATTGGTTGGTTGGTTGGTGGGTTGGTTGGTTGACTAGTTGGTTGAATGGTTGGTTGATTAGTTGATTTGATTTTTTAGTGATTGAGCGAGTAGTAGTTATAATAAACTGATAATTAAAAATTTTTCAACGCACTTCGTCAAGAAAAGATAATTAGTAGAATACATTTAATCAATTAATCAACCAATTATTTAAACCAATTAAACTATCAATTATGTTTATATAGCGCGCATTTCCTGAAATTTCAATCATCAAATTTTCTACTAATAAAAGTTGTATGATGGCAAGGCTCCTTACTACTACTACTGCTCCTACCATTTTTCAAAATTTTATGTTGAAATAAAATTCCAATAAAAAAAATGTGAAAAATTGAAAATTCATAATCAGGAAACTAGATCAAGCCTTGACACACTTGGAGGTCAACATAAACGGCCTTGATGACCTCAAGGACAAGGTCAGTTCGAGAGCAGAGATGTTGGACATTGAAAAGGGGCACGTCATCACTGAGAAAGCTACTAACCTTAAGGGTAAAATATATCATTGTGGTTATTATGATTATCATTTTTATTCCTCATCACTACTACTACTACTACTACTACTACTACTACTACTGCTGCTACTACTACTACTGCTACTACTACTACTACTACTGCTACTACTACTACTACAACTACTACACTACTACACTACTACAAGTACACTACTACTACAACTACTACTACTACCAATATTAATATTGTTATTATCTGTTGCAAATATTATTTATTTATTTAAACAGAAATTATTTCGTTAATTGCACCCACCAAAAAAGCAATCGAAGATAGACTGAATGAAAGAGAGAAGTTATTGGAGGATGAAAAAAACAAGATGGCCGCCATGATAAGCAAGCTGGAAATACAGCTGGCCAATCAGAACGAACAAATGGAGAAGGTTGACGTCATGTTTAGTTTTCAGAAAGTTTTTATTTCATTGTTTTTAAAAATCTCAATCTTAAATCTTAAAAACCTTTTTAAGAATCTTTTAAAAATGTTAAATGTTTTGAAATTGCAATTGATATTTTTCATCCAAACCTCTTTTTAATTTTTTGGATCTACCCACCATCTAACTGAAAATGCTTTTGTTTGTTAATACGTTATGATATGCTTTTATGCCAGCCTGCACTTTTGATAGTTTTATATTTGATTTATTTAGTAGTTCTGTCATGCATCTGCCATCACCTATCGATCCATCTATCTGATCATCAGCCTATCTATTCATTCATCCATACATCCATCTATCCATTTATTCATTCATCCATCCATCCATCCATTCATCCATCCATCCATCCATCCATCTATCCATCAATTCATTCATTCACTCACTCACTCAACCCCATCCAGGAAAAATGGCGGATGAAAGAGATGGAGAGCACGTTGAAGATGGAGAGGGAATCGATGGAGTCTGAATCACGTGAGTTTGCCAGCAGGTGCAGAACTGAGAAACAGGAGATTGATCGATTGAAAGTAAGTATGGATGAGTGATTGAATGATGGATGAATGGATAGATAGGTAGGAAGTTAGATGGACTAATAAATGGATTGATGAATGGATAGACGGATGGACGGACGGACAAATGGATGGATGGATAAAATGATTAACGATAACAGAGTAAAAAACAGTAATTACTACAATACGAAACGATACGATATTTATTTACTTAATGACGGTAATAACTGATAATTACAGGCCCAAATGTTGTTTGATCGGCAAGAACTGGCGGCCGAAATTAAGCGCGAACGAATGAAGTTAGCAGAAGAGAAGTCTCGTTTCGATATCGAAATGAAATCGAAACTAGAGGAGGAGGATAAAACGAACTTGAAAAATATTCAGGTAGGTTTTTTGTTTGTTGTTATTATATTCACGTTTTCGTTAAGCCATCCCAGTCAAACTTCAGCTTCATTCATTATTTCGGCTCTTTTGGCTACACTGTTGTTATTATTTTTAATTTTATTTCTTCTTTTTCTTCTTTTCCTTTTTTCTTTTTATTATTTTTATTGTTAATACTTTTTTAAATTATTTTTTGCATATTGACCACACATATACACGTCACCTAGATCTTGGCCGAGATAACGAGCAGACAGAAATCCCTCCAAATGATGACCACCGAGCTGGAAATAAGAACTAACCAGCTGAACAAGTTAGAGGAACGACTTACGGAAGAGAAGAAAAAGAATGAAGATGAGATGGAGAAGATAGTGGAGAGGAGGGTGACGTTGGATGGTCTGGCCAGGCAGATGAATGAAAGTTCCAGAGAGCTTGTGGAAAAGTACAGGGTAGTAATTCGTCCTAACTAGTTAATTATATTCCTCTCATAATTTTGAAATATCCGTTCATTGTTCTTCTTAATTATTAATGAGTTAATTAATTAATTAATTAATCATGATATTTAATTATAATTAACCTCCCTTAATGTAGTATCCAAAGGTTTCAACAACACCGATAATAAAATATCTAATAAAACCATCTAATTAGACCATCACGGCCTAATCAATTATTCTTTACTTATTAGATATTTTATTCACTAAACATTTATCGCCAATTAATTTAACCATTAAACTAAATTTTTTTTAATATGATCGGCAGAAATTTGAGATAGAAAAAGAGAAGTTATCCATGAAGGAAGGTGAATGTAACAAAAAGTTTGTTGATAACAAATATAAAAGTGACCTGCTACAGAGAAGAGAACAGCAAGTGGCTAAGGTTGGATGATAATTTTTGAATAAAATGAATTTTTATACAGAGTTGAACATTTTTGTAAAAAAATATATAATAAATAATAATATTTGAGTGATTTATAATTGAATAATTGAATTGAAATCGTTAATTTGTTTTTATAATTTGGTTGAAATGGTTAATATGTTTTGTTAATTGAATTATTCGTTCATCAATTTATCCATCCATTCATTCACTGATTTATTCATTCATTCGTTCGTTCGTTCGTTCGTTCATTCGTTCGATCCGTCGTTCGTTCGTTCGTTCATTCGTTCATTCGTTCGATCCGTCGTTCGTTTGTTCATTTATTCAGTTATTCATTCATCTTTTTCTCCATTCACTGATTCACCATCCACCACAGGATAGAAAGACATTAATCCAGATGAAAAAAGAGTTAGAGCAGATTATAATGACGGCCGTCTGCCGAAAGTGTAACACTAACACGCTGTACAAAAGTTACGTGGAAGATGTTGACGGGGAGAGAGAGGAGGAGAATAATTACGGAGAAGAGGATGACGTAGAGACGAATACGACGAGAGATAGTGATAGAACTGAGGGTGATAAACTAATCATAGACACGACGCTGATAAATCAATTGAAGAGTGAATCGGCGAGGGTGATTTTTTTTTAGAATTGTAACTTTTCTTTCATTTGAAAATGAAATCTATAATTCTTTTCATTTATTTTTCATAATTTTTCCATTTTTAATAAAATATTTTAATTATTTTTACTTTTACTATCAGGACAAAATGTACCTAGAGAATGAGAGACCGTTCGTTGAGGCGGTGAAGTATACATCAATGCATTACCTTTGAATCTCATCTGCCATCTATCCAAATTCTCTGATTTCTATTATGAAGTAATTAGCAGTATCGTATCGTATCGTATCGAGTTGTATGGTATCGTATCGAATGGTATTGAAGATTCGAAAGGCGTTCCGTTCGATTTGGTTCGATACGATACGATTTTTCTAATCACTTCATAAATAAAATTATGGAATACACTGTAATGTGTGTAGTTTCTGCTTTGTTTTTCATTAAAAATTATTCTGATTTTCTATTTTTGTTTTTTATTATTTTTAAAAATTCTCTATTTAATTAATTCTCAGATATATCGACATTTCGTCACCCATTTAAATGTTCGTCATATTTTGATTATTTTTTTATTATCGTCGTTCGTTTTATGTGTTGTGGCGTGTTTTATTTTAAGTATTTTAGAGTTTAAACTATTAAGAATGCCTTAATTAAGTATTGTGTTTCATTAGTTGCACTACGTTGTGAAATGTAACTAGTTAGCTAGGTTATTACCAAATTAATTTCTTTCACAAAAAATCAAGCAGATAAAATAAAATAATCAAATCGCAAAAAATAAGCAAATAAATCACGAAAAAGTTTAAAAATTTAAGAAAAAAACAATTATAAGTAGAGTTCACGGAAATTATGAAATGGAATTAATCAAAAACAGGTGTGCTCGTCTCATTAGGTTCCATTATATCAGTTTCTGTTCTTTATTTCGTAAAGAGCTCTTCCAACGATACGTAATCTTTTGATGACGTCAGACGGGCTTGACTGATGACGTCACCTATCCAGCGATGTTTGGTCCACGTTTCATTCATCTCTCGTTGAATGCTTTGTAGAATTTTAGAAAGCTCCAACAGTTCGGCCAGTTTGTCGTCGCGTGATTCGCTCTCCTCACAATCTTGCAGTCGTATCTTGCGGCGTCTGCAGGTTTCCGTAACCAAATCTAAAATGGCCGACAACTGGCAATACTTCCGGTAGATTTGTGGCTGGTAGGTGTTGAGGTGGAGCATTTCAAATGTTTTGAATGGGAGGTAAGTGCAAGATGGCGGAGGAGTAGGGAGCTTGCCCTGCAGAGGTGAGCACACGAGGGAAGCCTGTGGCGCGAGTAAGGTCATGTTCACGTGATGTTTCAAGGGGAAGGTCAACTTGTGGAGTCGATGAGCAGTTGGAATGGTCGGTTCATCAGCTTCTTCTTCTTCAACAGCTTCAGTTGAAGCAGCTGTTTCTGTAGTGACGGTATCAATGAGCTGATGGCATTTTGTCTGTAGCATATTTTTGAAGCTGTTGTCTCTCATTGAAGCACCATCTCCATCATCAAACACGTTGGTGTACTTCACCACCATCTTGACATCTTCATCGGAATCATCACCATCATCACCGTCGACCTTGATGCAAGGGAGGCTTGAAAGATGTTGTTTGGAGACGAGGATATCCAATCCCTGTACACGAACTGCCAGCTTCAAGTAGCCGATGTACATGCCCTGCTCCATCTGCTGCTGCTCACTCGTTGATAATATGTCCAAACTCTTCAATGTTATGTACTTCAATAAAGTTGACTTGGACGATGATGGAGATGACGATGAATGTGATGACGATAAGTCGCCAATGGGCATCCAGGTCAAAGGTGACGAGGACAAGTGTGACGGAGAGGATGATGAGGGAGAAAATAAGGATGGCCGAGGTGATGATGCAACAGTAATTTCATTGACAAACACCAGCACCGATGAATGACCTTCTTTGAAAATTTCCCAATGAAGTCGACCCAAATTTTCACATCTTGTGAGTTTTTGAAGACGACTTACTGCCTTCAAAATGGCGTGCCTGACCGGAAATAGATCTTTGTCCCCATTAGCAATAGTTTCTACTTTTTTGGATCCACCAATTTCTTTTTTCATAATTTTTTTCAAGTTTTCCGCTAACTGCCAATCACTTGTAACTTTCATCAGCCAATAAAAATGGTTTTCAATGTCTCCTACGTGATCGACGTTGACCTTGAAAGTGGGAAGGATGCTGTCTAATGTCAGCAGTAACCTGCCTGAGCAGGATTGGAGACAGGAAATGTACAATCCGGAAGTTTCGCAGCTGTTGACGAGATGTTTGGCCAGGAAGAAACGCTTGATAAATCTGCTCTGTTTTGTCAATGGTGATCTGTTGTTGCAGTCTTTGTTGCTCAGATATTGCACCAATGAACTAAATGGTTTTCCCATATTTTTCAAACATTTGTCCGTCAGCTTATGCATCATTATGTTCAAGGATATGTCGAGTTCCATTGTCTTCTCCTGCTTGCTCGATGGATTTCTGTGTTTGTCTGCATTGGTGATCCTGTTTGGAAAATTGGTTTGAACAATAATGTTATCGTTAATGTTATCATCACTTTTAATTTTATTCAAAACAGGGATGTTGTTTTCTTTCTTGTCATTTTCACATTCAGCTTTGCTTTTTTCATCATTGCCTGAAAGGTCAAATTTGTTGAAGTTGTCTTTAAGTGGGAGAAACGTGCTGCCGCATTTTTTGGACAAACTGGATTTTTCAGTCTGGTTGTGCTTGCTGCCTTTTGTTTCTTTGTCGTTGATGATGGGTGTGGATGTTGCGAAATTGTTGCTTCTGCTGCGAGCAAGGTTGATGAAGTCGCTTCTGATGATGTCGACGATGTTAACGTTGGAGGTCGTATGCACCTCGACGTATTCAAGTCCGCGATCATCTTTTGATTCAAAGATAATTTTTCTGATGACGGCTGATTTTTCAAATTCGAGAACACTTCTGTTGTTGTTGATGTTGAGGAAGTCCGTGTCGTCGTTGGTGTTGTTGGTGTAACATCTGTCGTTATATTTGCTGGTTTTGTTTTTAGTTTTGACGTCATCCTTGTTGTTGTTTGCATCCGCTGTCATTTTGTGATTGTTTCTTCCGAAATTGCTATTTGTGAACTTCATTCTTGAGTAATTGTAGTGGATTTTAGAGAATACACTACTAGGTGTGGCACGATACTGACCACTTTGATTTTGACCATTGCCATTGACTACAAAATTATTTTTATCGACAGGTCTTCTAACCAGTGATGTTCCATGCTTGAAACTCATGTGAATACCGTCCAAACTTCCATACTGGCAAATGAGAGGACCGAATCTATGTCGATATTTCATCGGTTTCTCGGCTTTTTTTCCTTTCGTCTCATTTTCAGTTTTGTTTCTCAGATGCTGTTTCCGTTGATGCCTCAACGATTTTGATTGATGTCTGCGCTGTTTCATTTTCTGAACTAGTTCATCATCCTGCTGATTTTGATGTTGCGACTTTGGAATTTCCAACTGCCTGTCGGATGGACAATGCTTACACGTGGAAAACTGTGCGGAAGCCATGTAGCGAATGAAATTTGTTAAGACTTGCGTACTTGAGTTACCACGTTTAGTTGCTTGAACGTTTAATGTCTTGAAAAGTTATTTGAATGGCTAATAGAATGTCTGAGTAATGTTAAGGTAGGTCGGAGAGTTAGACAATTTAATTCTTTAATAATTGATCGTTTAAAAATCAAGTTTGTAAGTTGTTTAAATATAAATTCGTTTGAAGCGTTGGATGATCCAATCTTTAGTGGATGTTATTTGTCGAGATGCTTTTGAAAATTATTAACTAGTTAATTAATTCAGTGGACAATTTCTTTTTTTAAATATCACAAAAACTGTTTGGCGACTTTTCAAAAATTGCTAAAATATCTGAAGTGTGGAGATTACTGAAAAGGAAACTCGTTGATGGAGATCTTCAGACTGTGGACGCTTATATAGTCTCGGACCGACCACACATCAAAGAATCACGCCAATCAGTCATTAGTCTATGTTTGTAAAGTTAATTTAATTAAAACTTAGAGATCAATGTTGTAATTAATTCAATCTGAGTCGCTAAACATCAAAGAACATCAAAGAAATCGACTGCATAAAGTGAAAATGTTGGAATTACAAAGAAATTTTATTGGGTCTGTGTGACGCCTCGCTTAATTGTTTAAGCAAATAATTACCCGTCAAAATAAGTTGGCGTACTAATTGACAATTAAGTAATAAATTTAAATAATAACCAGCCTGATTTGTTGTGAAAAGTTTATTAAAGTAATTTGTAGTCCTTTGAAATATTGTTATCGACGTGATCTTCAAAGTAGAAAACTAATGAAAATTAATTTAAAACGTTGAAATGGAAGTAAAGTAGGTACCCTTTAAAGTGATATCTCATTAGATATTCATCAAAGTTGTTAGAAGGCCTAATTATTGAAAGGTGAGAACTTTATTGGTGTAAATTTTAATAAGATTTTGTGCATCGAATAATTAAATTGAACTTATTCCAAATATTTCAAACAATTTATCGTGTTTTTAGTAAATTGAAACAAATTTTTTAAAAATAATTTTTATTAATTTTTTTTTATTCCATAAAAAACAGATCAGGATTTAATTTTATTTGCTTATTTAGTAAGTGATTACCATTATGCTGGGAATTCAAAAATCTGGAAGTGGTTGACATCTATCTAAATATTCTCGGGGCAGATGATAAAATTTCAGAAAGTTAAAAAGTAATTTTAGTGTAACTAAACACTTACACAGACGCACAAATAAAAACTTAAAATATCTAAAAAAATACGTGAAATAACACGAAACACGTAACTTGTATAGACACATGCACACAAACACACACAAACACGCATATACACACAATACACACATACACACACATAAAATCATTTGTTAAGGCGTAAATATAATTGAATGACAATTAATTTCAGAATGTTTTATTTAATAAAATAATAAAAAAATTAAAAAGTAAAATTAATAACATTTAGTAAGCATAAGTAAATAAATCATGAAAATTAATCTGATCATACTATTGGTAAAATTCAAGTGCAATGTTATAAAGTAAGGCAGGCATTATAATGTGGTGTTCATCACTATTCATCCTACTGACATTCAACCTTATCACCTTCACCCATCACATCATCATCACTGTGAATAATGGAATAATGGAATATTTATTGCACGATAAAAACCTGTTACGAGTGTTATCATATAAATGTTATCATTTTACTTTTGACATCACTATCATGATCACAATCATCATCATCTCATCCGCAGCAGCATCTTGCCACCATTATCCTATTATTATTATCATCATCATAACTCCCTACTATCGTGAACTTTGACCTCCATACTCTTACAGAAGTACTGTGTGAAGGGGATGCAGTTGAAGTACTGACAGTAGTCGCAGCTGTAGATGGGGCTGACGTAGAAGAGAATAAATAGGACCAGGAACATGACGAGAACAACAACGGAGCAGGCGGCCATGCACAAAATTTGACCTCTCCGTCCCAAAATCTTCAACTCTGCCGCATATGGCATGAGGGCAAAGGAGATGAAGAAGCCGAAGATGAAACCAAAGAGATGGGCGTAGTTGTCCACCCATGGAAAGAGGCCGATGATGAAGAGGAAGATGAGGATGGAGGTCAGTTTGAAGATGACCAGGCAGGGTGATTGCACTATCCCTAACTGCCAGCCGTATATCACCTCCACAAACAAGCTGGCCAGAAGTCCGAATTGAGAACCGGAAGGTCCTGCCTTTGATGATGATGACGGTTGGTAGTGTTGATGATGATGGGGCTGATGATGATGATGATAATGGCATTGTGATGATAATGATTGGAGTGGTAAAGATGATGCCAATAAATTCAATTTTCAATTTTTAGAAAAATAAAGTCTAAAACATAAAAAATTTAGTTAACATATGCAAAAAACCAAATAACATTTTTTAAGAGACGTCAAAGAACTTCAAAAATAATGCCAACAATTGGTCTGATGAAATATATTTCAAACTTCAATTCGCTAATTCTAAATTTCAAAATCTACCTCGACGTGATAAGGAAGGAAGATGGCACTAGCAAGACTGCCAGCTATTCCGCTGGCGATGTAGATGACGCAGACGCGGAACCATCCAAGCAGGCGCTCTATGTCTCGCATGATGAAATACTGGAAGATTATCGTTATCAGTAGCTGCAGTATCCTGAATGTTCACCGTATGATGAAAATTGATGAGTGAATGATGGTGGTGTGATGAAGATTGAATGTTGGTTTAGAGTGATGAGTGAATGACGCCGGTGTGATGAAGATGATGAAGATGATGAGTGAATGATGAAGGTTGTGATGAATGTTGATGAAGATGGTGAGTGACTGATGGGGGCTGTGATGAAGATGATGAGCGGATTATTCTATGATGGAGATGACGAAGATGATGCTAAGGACATGTAATTTAAAAATACCAAAATACTGTAAAATACAAACTGAACAAGCACCGAACGCAGAACGGACGAACGAACAAACAGAAAACTTTAACAAACCCTGCGTGGAGAAACAGAGAAGTCCAAAGTCTGTAGAACTGATTGGGGTAGGTTTCGTTGTAGAATGGTAACATGCCGCATATCTCACTGAGACATGATTTTACCTAGTTTAAATGATATCTTCACATTATCACGATATGATATATGGTATATGATATGACATAATATTGATAATATATGATATAATATCGATAGGATGAAATAATATTGATGCGATGTACTGTCGATATGATATAATTATATGATATCACATTTTCAGTATTGGCTTTGGTAGCGGCGATACTTTTGATGGCGAGTAGGTATCCAACTTGATAGTGCCGATACTTTTTAGATAGTACAAAATCGATCCCGATGTCAAAATATATGATCGTCAAAAGATTATATTTTTATTAATGATTATTTCAATGATCAGAGCTTGACGCGTTTTTCATTTGGAGTTTGGGATTTAAATTTGGAATTTAAATTTGAGATTTAAATTTGAGATTTAAATTTGGGATTCAAATTTGGGATTTAGTATTAAGTTTCGCCGCTTTTTGCATGTTTGTTCTTAAAAAGTTATTTTCTCTCGGCTGATTCCCACAATCTAATTGTCTTTGAGGTCATTTCCATGTGATATATTAACTGTTAAAAACATTAGAATAGATAAATTATATTAGTTATTTTTCGGTAGCACTGTTTAAATAATGCAAAAGTATTGGCATTACCGGCGATACTTTTCAAATGAATGGGTATCGGCAAAACAGTTAAAAAAGTATTTGCTTTGGTCGTAGCGATACAATATTTTAAAATTCTTAACAGCCCTTAGTATTAACATACCTATATAATATAAAATATCATCATGACTTTTATTTGCTTACCGAGAAATGCTTGTGGACATAACAATAAAATAGTAGAATATTCTATTCTTTTATATTGATAAAATTTAATTTTTGATATATCAAACCATTCAACCGACCTACCCACTGAACCGAATCGACTGGCCGACAAATCGATTGTAAAACCGACCAAACAACCGACCGAGCAACCAACTAACCTACCTACCATCCAATCAACCAACCAATCGACCGACTGACCGACCGACCAACAAACCGACCGACCGACCAACAAACCGACCGACCAACCAACCGATCAACCAACAAACCGACCAACCGACTAGCTACTAAATTTGAGAAACCAACCTGAGAACAGAGATTAGCCTCGGGATGAAAGTACCCCCCACGAAAGGCGCAGTAGGCCGGTGTGGTGATGATGCACTGGCCATGAATGCCGACACAACAGGGCCTGGCCACCACCTCACACGTCATGTGCTTCGGGCCGTTCGGGGGTATCAATGGAACCTCCTGGCATATCTTAAGTAACGTACATTACACTAATTTGAATAAATTTCTATATTATTACTTAAAAGAATTAATAGCTTATGTTATAGTGATGAGAAAGCCGGGAAAATATTAATATTATTATTATTACTATTACAATATTTTCTGTTATTATTTTTTTATTATTAATTTTGTTATTGTTGTTATTAGCGATAATCTCAATCAAACGCCTACACCAACCGGCCACTCGGTTATGTTGTTCTTTGGCCACATTGTGGGCAGCACGCTGGCGCTACTGCAGTAGCTGCAACGATTCAAATGAACGAATGAATGAACGAATGAATGAATGAATGAACGAACAAATGAACGAACAAACAAAATATTGATTGATTGATTGAATAATGAAATGAGTTAATTGATTGATAATTTTTAAAAAAATTGAGAAAATTTCAAAAATTCAAACTCAAAACAAATTTGAAGCGATAGGTTGTAAAAAGATTTATGACGTGATATAATAATGACGACGACGACGATCTAAATAAAAAATTTTTTAATTAAATTATAATAATAATAAATATTAACATAATATAATTTTCATAATATAATAATTATTGTAATAAATTATTGCATGCTTGGGCCATTTACTCTGGATCGAGACCGCACACTGTGTTATTGTACCAGGAAGCCAACGTCTTCTGATAGAGATAAAAAATATAAAAATATAAAAATAAATATAATAATAATATAAAAATATTAAAAAAAATAAAAAATATAATAAAAATATAAAAATAAATATAAAAATATACGTGTGAATTAACATTATCGGTAAAATTAATTGATCAGCTAACTCAGAGGTAGACAAACTAGAGCCAACAAGGCCTTGTTTGCCAAATAAAAGATCGTCAGCCAGACGTTATGACTAAAAAAGAGAAAAAAAGGAGCCACAAATCTTAAAAAAATACTCTCCCGGGTCGAAAAAATTTGCTACTTAATTACATAAGTACATATGCGGCCCTTCAAAGATAAAATATTCTCAATGTTGCCCTCCCGGCCAAAGGGTTAGTACACAAGTACATATGCGGCCCTTCTAAGATAAAATATTCTCAATGTGGCCCACACGGCAAGAGGTTTACCTACCCCTGAATTAAATAATTATATTTCATTCCAATCAATGAATATTAATAAGAATAGGAATATAATTAATGATGATTGGGTGTCATAAAAGCGCCACGCCACACTACACACCACACACTAACACACACGTACACAGAGGCAAACATTTTCACAAACACTCACGCACACACACACACAAACTACAAACTACACACATAAACTACACACTACACACACAAAGACAAACGTTCTCATAAACACAAACATACACACACGCGCAAACGTACGCGCGCGCACACGCACAAACATACTGGACATCTCAAAGAGCTAAGCTGGACACACCCTGAACCGTCGTTGTACGAGCAACAGCCCGTCTCTTCCTCCTACACGTGAGAATATTTATGATAATATGACTGATCATAATAATGATATTGTAATAATAATAATATAATATTAATATTAATAATATCAATAATTAATATTAAAAATAACATCAAGTCAGGGTCATGGTCATAATTTTTCAGTACCTCCTCAATGTCCATGTTGAGTCTGTCAACGACGTTTGCATCTCGCCTCATACATGGTGAATACTTGGCTCCGAGATGGATCAAGTCGGCCTGCGGTCATTTTGTGGTGATAATGGTTAAAATGATAATGATGTCCGTAATAATGGTGGTGTGTGCGCGCGTGCGTGTGCGTGTGTTTGTTATTACGTAGTGCAGGTGTGTGTGTGTGTGTGTGTGTGTGTGTGTGTTACAGCATAATGATGAAATTATGATGGTTGAAATGATAATGTCCACGAGAGATAACGAAGTAATGGTGATAGGGTTGAAAATGTTAATGATGTCCACAATGATGATGATGGTGATGATGTGATGATGATGACCAGTAAGTTGGCAATGGTAAAGAGAGTTTGATTTTGACGTTGCTTTGTTGATGGTGGTCACATCAATGATAATGACGATAATAATAATAAAAATAATAATAATAATCATTATAATGATGATGGAAACTCTTTTATTTCAACCAAAGTCGTTAAAATTAAAAAGGAAAAAAGTAATTAAAAATGTGATAATGTTCAATAAAAACCAAAAACCACAATGCTCATTGTTTAAGGCTAAACGGTGATGCATTCAAATTGGTTATAAAGTACTTCTATCTCAATAATAATATAATAATAATAAAAATAATAATGATAATGATGATGGTGATGAAGATGATGAACGTGAACCAACCTGCTTTGGACCAATCCACATGTTGTTCTTCTCGTTGTAAAATACTTTCTCTATGGCCAAACTGACTGTTCGCACCTTGAAAATTGATGTTTATTATTTATCCATCATTCCATCCGTCCGTCCGTCCATCCATCCATCCATCCGTCCGTCCGTCCATCTATCAATCCATTCATCTATCCATATATCAATTCCTTCATTTATCCATCCTTTCATCTATCTATCTATCCATCCATCTATCTATTAATCATCAGTAAAGTTTTTTAATTCATAATCAAATTGGATTACAATAAAAAAATCAATTTTAAGATCTTCATTCGCAAATAAAACCACCAAGTATTTAAATTTAATTTATAGTAAGATAATGAACAAAAACGGAACCGAAACCTCTGCGAATATCGGAGTCTCGGAAAACCCGAGCGGGGAAAACCCATAGACAGATGTTGCGATGATGAAGATGATGATTTGCACGAACGTCGCCCAGTAAGTGAAGAAGGGCCGGTAGTCTTGCATCTCTTCCAATTGGTCCAACGTTTCTCGGGTAATTCCAGATTCTTTGTAATTCGTTCCTGATTGATTAGAAGATTGAGTGGTAGGTGATAAGATAAGTGAATAATATGACATTGATAATAATAATTCACATTATAACGATAGCGCAGTGCGTATAACGCTTGTACATAAAAAAAATTTCAGTTTAACAGTTTATATTTTGTAAAAAAAAATTCAGAAAATCCGACCCAAAAATTCTCCGACAATTCCGATGGCGAACTGTCTCTTTCCGTTGTCTGGCAGATTGTTGATGACGTCATCGGGCATCCTCCTGCCCCAGTTATTTGAATCAGCCAGCAGAAAGTCTCCAGCGCTAACTTTCGCGGCCGTTTTTTTCTTACGTCTTTTTAAAAGTTTTTGATTGAACTGAGATGAAATGTTTAACGAAAAAAAAAAAATTACTTCACTAACGATAACGCTGAGTTATAAAGCACATAAACACACTCGTGTCACGTACAAACACTCACACACATGTACATCAGCACACCACATTCACACAAACTCTCTCTCTCTCTCTCTCTCTCTCTCTCTCTCTTTCTCTCTCTCACACACACACACACACACACGTACACACACACGCGCGTATACCAGCACAAACTTTTCTCCATGCTTAAAATCTTCTTCCATTCCTCCTTTTGATGGCGTCGCTTGTTTCTCCCTAAAAAGATCTTCAAAATCATCATCACGATCATTATCGCCAATTTTGGGTTTTTCCACCTTTTCCCTATTTATACCAGTTGGAAATCCCCTTTCACGTAATTGGTCCGATGAGATTGTTGTTGCCGGTGCAGTTGTTGCAGGCGGATGTGGGGGGTTTGAAGTTGAAAAAGTGACAAAAAGTGGACGTTTTGATTGTTGGGACGTTGGTGGCGGTGGCGGTGGTGGCGACTGCTGTGGCGACTGTGACTTTTCTGACTTTGAACTTTTTATCCCGACGTTGTCCATGTAGTCGTAAAGGGTGTTGCTGTAAGACGGTCTATAGTTGGTTGTTTAATTGCCATGTATTTAACGACAGCTCAATTAGGATGAATTTTGAGTTAACTTTATTAACTGTAATCTCTATTTAATGTTTTGATTTAATTAGTTAATTAATTAATTGCTATTATGCTATTAACACAGAACAACAATTCAACTAACTAACAACAACACAACAAACAACAACAACAACAGCTCAACTAATTTACAACGACACAAAAAAACTAACATCAACACTATATTACGTTAGAGACTTAGCGGTTAATTGACATCAATCATCTTACCAGCAATCAACAAAACAACATTCAAAAAAACGCTGTAATCTGTAATCAGGTACATCTACTACAACTGATGCAGTTCTACAACTACTACAGCTGCTGCAATTATTACAACAGCTGCAACTACAACTTCTGCAACTACTACAACCACTGCAACTACTACAATTGCTACAACTACAACAAACCACCTCTCATTATCATCCTCTTCATCATCATCATTTTCTTCCAATCGATCGAGGAGCTTCGCGGATAATAGAGACTGATAGGGGGGACGTGGAGGGGGGCTTGTAGGGTAGGCCACATTATAGAATTCATCATCCACTAGATCTTCCTGACTGACTGATGCCGTCACCTTTGAGGAAGAAAGGCGATGATGAAGTTTGAGACTGAGGTTACAAAGTGCAGTAAGATAACACGCCGCAGCAAGCCAATATAATACAATACAATACAATACAATACAGTACAGTACAGTACAGTACAGTACAGTACAGTACAGTACAGTACAGTACAGTACAGTACAATACAATACAATACAATACAATACAATGCAATAAAACACAATGCAATACAATACAGTATAATACAATTCAGCCCAATACAATTACGATACCACATAATAAAATATGACAGAGTTATAATACAATACAATATTATAACGATACGACTCGGTACAGTATTCTACTGACACTTTTTCTCGCAGATGGAGCAATGCTCCGGTTTTTCACCGATCCTCTATAGTCAGCTGACTGAGGTTGGACCATTGACGTTCCTCTCTGTGAACAAGCAGTAATAATATTTACACAAATACACACACACATACATACACATACACACAATACACTTATATACTAACAGCTAAATACTTAATGCCGTCAACCGCCATCTTGAACACTGACTCTTTGACGTTACGAGGAGTGGGCAGTGGTCGCGTCATTCTCCTACTGCTGCTTGCCGTCGATATGTGCGACTGCTGGCGACTGAATTTTTGTGGCAAAAAAGATTAAAAATTAATTAATAAACTAGTTAATTAATTATAATGTTTATTAAAATTAATTTTTTTTACCAACATAAAATTAATTAATAAACTAACTAATTAATTATAATGTTTATTAAAAACAAAAATAATTTAAACTCTCAAACATTGAATTTATTTGAATTATTATTGGACAATTTTAGCAATGTGTGGTTGTATGTTTCGGCCTATAGAAAGCACATGCACGCGACCAACAGTATGTGCGAACCTCATTTAACTTCAACCTTTATTATATGACAGTGAGGAGTTTTCTTTTACAATTTTGATATGGTACATTAGGTTAAATTAGGGTAACAATTTCGTGAAAGCAACCTAGCTATTCCTGGGTATTCGCTGTGGGATCTGCAAATCCATTTTTTATCTATTCCGTCGTCATCGGCTACACGATCCATGTCGTCAAGCAGAGCGTCCAGCCCTCTTCCTTTTAAGATGCTCGTAGCTGCTTCAGCGTAAGGATGACCTCCTTTGCTGGAAGGAAGAATTTGAAATACTTTAAAAACCAATATGCATGTCTCGTACGTGCTACACTACACAGCACGCAACGAACGTCACTACACCAATATGAACGACAAAAAAATATAACAATGGAACAGCAAGACATGTGAAAAATTTGGACAAATTTGAAAATGTAGTAGAGGCTACAAGCAAATCAATCATCACCACCACCAACAACAACAACAACAAACAGCAGTAACAACAAGAACAAACAACAACAAACATACGGCAACAACAACAGCAAACACAACAACAATAAAATAATCGTACAAGCTGTTATATTGTCTTTCACTTTGCCGCTGCTGTAGCTGCTGATGTGGTTGTTGTGGCTGTAGTTGATGTGGTTGTGGCTGTGGTTGTTTACCACTTCTTAGCACGAGACTCTTGCAATGCATTCGTCTAGCTCTGGCCTTCCATATGTCAGCTGCATTTGTTGTGCTCTCCGGTGGAACAAAAAAGCCCACTATGTTCTGACTGACGCTCCTTATGAAGGTGGTGATGAAGAAGATGAAGATGATGATGAAGAAGATGATGGTGAAGATGATGACGATGAAGACGT